CTACTACGACTACGACTACAACTACGACTACGACTACGGCGACGACTACGTCTACGACGACGACGACGACGACTACTACTTTTACTCTTACTTCCTACTACTACTACTACTACTACTACTACCACCACAACTGCCACGACGACTACTACTGCTACTACTACTACTACTACCACTATTACTATTACTACTACAGTACTACTAACCCACTACTCCGACTCCTACTACTCCTACGACTACGACGGCGACCACTACCACCACCACCACCACTTCTACTACCGCTACTACCAGCACTACCACCACCACTACCGCTGCAAGAAATCTGCGTGGAAGTGGCTAAGCCAGGCCGTGCGAACTTCAGATGCGATCGCAGTGCAGGCCTGCTTTTGCGCCCGGTGCCTCATACCCAGGCTCAAAGGTCGCGTCCTGTTCCACGATTCCATGATGCCCCAAGAGCAAGGGGCAGAAAAAGCTTGTCTCTTCACGCTCTTCTCGCAGCGACACCAATCATCCGCGCAAGCCCATATAACTGTCAGCACGCTCAGGCTTAAGGCGGTTCAACGACCAGGTTTGAGAAATGCTTTCCTTGACAGTACTGGCTAGTGTGCGAAAGTAATTGCACTCAATTCAGGAATCGCGGTGCAAGGCCCCAGGCGCCGGCTAATACCTCTGCGTACATCAACTGATGGCCCAAAGCTGAAACCATGTCCGCAGTCCTCAAATGGGGCTTGAGGGCCTTCCGCAAGTCCAGAGGTCTCATCCGGAAACGAAGGCTCGGTGTCCTAGAAGCATGAACGGAGCAACCGCAAGTTCACCTATTTGGCATGTGGACTTGGCGGCTCTGGAGGCAGCCACAAAAGAAGCACCATGCCAAAGGCTTCGCTCGAGCTAAGTCTTTTATACTGACATCATTCGTCTTCATAGCGACAACACATAAGCCCATAGAGGTGAGGGGCCGACCAAGAATCAGTGCTACTATATGGTGGCAAAAGCCCGGGTACATGTAATTGTTGTACAGCAAACATGCATGAACTTGTTTTGCATTGTTTCAGGCATTGGACGAGACTGCGAGTGTGCATTCCCACGATGACACGGCAAACATTATTAATTACTTTAGATGCGAAGTTCGTGGATCCTATCCTGATTCCTTTGTAAAAGCTGGCACACTAAACTTGTAGGCCTGGGCCTGAGTGTGGTCCGTTTTTAATACTCAGCTGCCGCACTCTGTGTCGACAGCAACGAAAGTTGAATGTACTGGAGAGTGTACACACTAAACGATGCTCCACCACTAATAAAACCCACAACCTTGAGCTATCTTGAGCTTCTTTGGACCCGGCTTTGCTCAGCCACCCGCCCAACCCCCCCCTCCCCCGAGCCGCCTGCCCGCCTCTCTGCCTCTCTGGGTCCTCCATCCACCCNNCCCCCCCCCCCCCCCCCCCGAAGCGTTTACACCATCCGGTTTGTGGCTTACTTGCTAGTCGTTTACTGTACGAACCATATAAAGAATCATCAAATCCAGTGAATGATTCGATTCACATTCCCTATAAGTTGTGGTTTGGCCTGAGCAGGTAGGACTGTCGCTGAGCTGCGGTCCTCAACTGGATCTGGAGGGCTGTCGCTGGCCTAGCCGAGCTGAGAAGGCTATGGCGACACAAGAACGATTGCTGCTCGGCTCTTCAAGCGAACTTCATCGGCAGCAGCCAACGGTTTGGGGATGTTTGGTTTGGGATGGCAAGCGATTAGACTCTACCCCCAGCTTAGGTCATGCAAGTGCAACTGGCTCGAGCGACTCAACACACGCAACAACAAGCACCACACGAGCACAACAGCGGATGGAACCGCTACAGCTCATTTGCACTGATTCGGGGTCCAAAACGGTTCTCTCCACTCTTGGCGATCTCAGGAACTGGGCAGGTGCGGGATTTCTGGGACAGCTTTCGGCGGTTCCAGACTGTGGCTCTTCACTCTCAACAACTCCGATCCGCGGATGACACGTTTGCAAGAAACCCAGACAAATCCAGGGGAGCACACCATCCAAGAAGAGGGTGGCTTCAGTGATGGCAGCTTGTCCTCCAAAAACTACCCACGGCATGATGTGACCACCGATCATCGTTACAGCTTCTGTGTTGCCTCTGCGCCGCGGGGAGCCTGAACTCGAGAGACACAAGCCACCAAGCGTCGTGATCCCCACAGTGTGGGCTGAGTTTCTGACGAGACCGGCAAGCTCAAGGAGAGCATTTGCTGCTGCCCGATTGGGACCTGTCCCCCCGCCTACCCTGCTCATGTCTGTCACATGGTCAATGCGAGCATCGATTGCTGGGTCCGAGGCTGGCCCCCAGCAAAACAAACCGGTCGAAAGATTTGCGGATCATAATAGTTGCCTTTCGCTGCACAGCTGCTGGCGGACCTTCACTGTGCACACACACTCGATCTGCAAATCGAGGGCATTGTGTCGAGCATGCTTCCCTGCAATCAAGTCATGGCAACCTCAGCTAAGGCGCGGGCGTCTTTGGCAACATTGCTGTAGTTTCTTCCTCTTCAGGACCTAACGGACTCTGCTCCGCTGGCTTGGAAATGCATGTGTAAGTAAGCGGCCCTCGCACTTTGGCAGCCGGTGGCCCCACGAGCTTCGAGGCTATTGCCCCTCACAACTTGCCAAGTCGATGCCTCAGCCTTCCGCGGTGACAATCAGAACTGGAAGCATGCGCCAATGTCAGGCAACCCCGCTTCGTCCGGCATTGGGTCACCGTCCAATGTGACCCAGACCGGTGCGTTGCTGGGCAACAGAACTTCCGAGGGTGCAGGTGCAGGGTTCAGATTCCCGGCAGCCTCGGCAGCCATCGAAGGCAAAGACAAAGCTTGATGCCAGGTGTATCTCCGCTCACCGATCTCCAAAAAATGCGAAGGATCAGGTGCAGGGCGGCTGCTTCCCGCAAGGCCATCTGCTCCGAAAGGACGCAATTCAATCTCAGGCCAAAATGCGATCATGAAAGTAATTCGCCGCAGTGGCTCTTCCGAACAGGGAGCTACACCGCAACCTGGAACCACGCCATGGAAATATCTGCCATCGTAGGCCGCCAATCGACCCTCGTTCGGATGCACGAACCAGCCCCTTCTTCCTAGAGACCCGCTGGCAAGCACCTGATCCGTTACAAGCGTCGGTCCACCGATGCCGCGTGGCGCCATCACGTACAGCACGCAACTACAAATGGGGTTGCGCACCCCACCAATGCCTTCGTTGTCACTGTCGTAATGCATCTGATGACCACAAGCATGTGGTCGCTTGTGGGCCCACCATTCTGCAACCTTGGCCTCCGACAATCGGGGGAAGTAGCCTCCTTTCTTTAGGAACTCCCAGACGTGCCGGATGATGGCATCTAGAGCGTTCTGCTCTTGCCCAGTCAGAGTCTGAATGTAGCTGAAATATCCATTTTCCCCACTTCCCGTCACCTCGTTGTAACCATGCTCACTCCAGAACCGGGAGTCCGGCGCGAGAAATTGCTGCAAACGCTGGAACAAGCTCGGCAGTAATGCGTTGTCAAAAACACAACCGGGAAACCCTGCAGTGTCGACGGAAAGCTGTGCAGAGGAGCATCGCCAAATCCAGGATGCTAGCCTGTATTGGTAACCGGCAGATTGCAGCAGCGGCAGGGCCTCCTCCTCGCGTCCATCCTGGAGCAAAAATACGGCAAGTCTGGCTAAAATTGCGCGCTCGTTTGTCGCAGCTTCGCCCGCAAGGGCCTGACGCAACACTTGCTCGCACGCATCCGGATCACCGTCACTCGATGTGGCCATTATGTGCAACAACTGAGCAAACCGAACCGCCAGATCCGTGAACCGGCTTGGACTGAGCACCAAGACTTTGGCATAGGCCTCGCGGGCACCATGCCAATCCCCATTGCGCTCCAACACCTCCACCTCCCGCACTGCATCTTCGGCATCGGCTGCTGACCACAACCGTGTGGCGACTGCCTGCAGTCTTCGGGCCGTGGCCTGCAATGTACGTTTTGCTTTTGGGAGGTTGCGCTTCAATTTCTTGACAACCGTCACACCCAGCTCCGCACGCAACAACCGCTGCAATATGTCGACCTCACATTCCTCTAGCTGCTCGGGTGGAGGATGCCCAGTTTCTGATTGAAATGTTGCAAGAAGCTTCGCCCACAAATCGTTCCATCGAGCATCGTAAGCATCCATGCTACTCTTTTCCGAACCGCCTGCCGAATGTTTGTCATATCGAAAATCACACATGATCACATCAACCGGCACTAAACGAAACCCATGAAGCTGTATGCAAGTGCACTGACTATGTTGGACGTGCAAATGATTATGCTAAAAATTCTTTAAGGACTGCGAAAGTCATGCCCACTGCTCCTCAATGGGCACACTAGTGCTAAGAAGCAGCCATGCAATTCTCAAGGTTGAAACATGTGTCTCAAACGCAGTGACGTAAACTGGCACATTCTCAGCAACAACACAGTTTGCAGCCAGCTTAGCATGGATCTGCGAGGAAGCTCACTGGTTTCAACTGTCATGAGCCTGAGCCACAGACGCACTTCTTCGATGCGGGTCTCACCGATTCTTGGCCCCAGATCACAACATGCAGGGCTTCCGCGAGAGAAAATGTCAGCATGACGCATACCGCTACAGCGAGGAACTTGCCAGTGGCAGAAATGGACAATGTGAAGGCTGGCTGGCATGCCTATCAACAGGTGCCAGGGCCCACACTGCACAAGCGCGACGCATTGCGAAGAAGCCTGTACGACACGAGGCAAGCAAACTTGCTGGTTGTCGATGCTGCTGGCTCGCGGCGCTTCTACAGCACATAAAAGCACATATGATCTGAGTCGACGGCTTTCCTCGCCAAACATTGCAATCAGACCAGGTCATGGCGGCCGGCTCGTGTGGCGACAAATTTGGCTGTGGACTTGAAGGCAAAGGTAAAGGCAGCCTGTGCTGATGAAATGGTTTACCATGGAGGCCATGGTGTCTCACAGTCTCACATACCGGACAAGGAAGAGCACGCGGCAAACACCGAAACTCGAAAGCGTCGGCAGCTGCTTAGGTCCTCCGTCAGGTTTGAACCATTACGAGGCACGAATCTCTAGGTTGTGTCGAACATTGATTGAACCTCATGCCTGCTTTGATTGGCTTGGCTGGGAATAGGCTTGGATTGGTGGAATACCCAGAGCGCCTACATCTTGAATGGTGGGTCACAGCGTGCGAACAATCCACAGTTCGATGCATGATTGTGGTCTCCAGTAAAGGCCGGCCAGTGTGTCGGAACGGCCCAGCCCCGTGAAAGGTGTAGTTTGTGTACTGCTGCTTGAGTGTTGGTGCTCGAAAAAAAACCGTCAAGCGCTAACCCTGTGTCAGACGCCGTCAGACACAACCAGCCTTGACGGACAAGAAGCAAATACAAAAACATACGCAAACAAAAAACAACAGCGAAAGCCCACCAATCCCTTTTTTGGTCCAATCCCAAAATCGTCGGTGTAGTCATCATCGCCTTGAACCTGAATGCTCCGGTAAAAGTCCCGCTGTCAACATGTTGGGCTCCAGTCCCACCAACCCACGAATCGAAAGCAAAATAATTCCTACCAAGCCCAGTTTTAGAAGCACTGAATTGCAACCTCGAAAGAACCCCAACGACGAAAGGCTATCAAGCCTGGGGCGCTGCAACGAGCGTGCAGGGCACGGTTTGTTGCCCGTCAGCACCGACTGCTGTCGAAACTTAGAGTACTTGGAACTATAAATACGCATGCCTAGTAGAGCGGTGCTTATGGGTGACAGCACTCCATCTATCACGGTTCTAGCAAAACGGTCGCACCCTCGGTACAAAGAAGTGTTGTCCACTCGAACAAGAATAAGAGTGGCTCCCTGTACCGTCAAGATTTTTTTTGTTTCTTTTTCGCCCGCGCGGTAGGTGAGGTCCTCCACTTGGCAGCTCACGGCCCACCGACGGCGTGTCAGCGAAGCGGCAGCCGACTGGGCGCGCTCGCACTCGCGAGGTCAAGCACGTCGCCCAACGGGAGTGCGTCATCGGCGCCCGGCAGCGGCGGCATTGACCACACCCCGAGCACAGAGCAGGCGACAGCGCGTTGCAGGGCGACGGACAAGACGCTCCACCAACGACCGTAAAGATTTGTTGGATTGTAGGGGCCGACGCTCTTCCACTCGAGCCCGTGCTCGAGCTCGCAGCTCCGGCCGGCTGCAGCCGCTTGCCGTTGCGCGCGTGGGCGCATGCTCACGCAGCTGAAGGATCGTAGGCAGTTAACCTGTCTTCTGGGACAGCTGCCTGCTTTTGCAGTCGGAATGGGGTCCGTTTGAAAAAAAAAAATTGATATCGGCGTGAAACGGCGGCGTCCGATGACATGAAGTTGATGCGTTGAATTGCCTCTCCTATATAGCCATGACTCTGCCCAGTGCGGGCGAGTGTCCAGTGCGGGCGAGGGCGGCTTGGTCTAGTGGGACAGGAGATATGCCTAGATGCGTGGGGCCCGTAAACATAGGATGCAACATTTGATGAAGCTCTGCTGTAACAAACATGTGGCCCTGGGCTGCACCCGTTTGCGCGCGCAATACCATGTCCCGTCGGTGTCGGGTAACCTAAGAACTGGGCTTCTGCTACTCCTACGAAACGTGAGCTGGTCAAGTGCACCGGGAGAGGCAGCATGGACCAGACGCCCCGCACAGAGCTGGCGACAGCTCGCCGCAGGGCTGCGGACAACACGCACGCTGCACCGGAGCCGGGTGCGGAGGTATTGTCCCTCCGATCTGAGCGGCGAGGACGCGAGGCCGTTGCGGTGCTCCGCGGGTGACGCGTGTCTTTGCGTCGGCGGGCGGCAAACCCAGCCCGGCCCAGCCCCCGCCCATGTGTCTGTCAGCCTCGGAGACGGCTCGGCAGGCGCGAGTGGGCGGGGACACAAGCCCACGGTGCGTCACAGCACAAAGCTTCCCAATTGGTCGGCACGCCATCAACAACGAAGTCGAGCGGCGATTGCTGCGCCACCTCTCGAGCTTCCGGGCCAACGGCCTTGCGAGCGACCTGAACCCATGCCCTCTCGACGACGAACCCGCGCCGGGGCAGTAAGCCCGTGCAGGGGCAGGCAAGGTGGTGGTCCAATATAGGCATCGACTTCTGCCCCGCAACCGTGGCGGCCTTCCGCGCCACGGCGCGTCTGGCTCCAGCCACTCGTTGCGTGGGCTTGAAAAAAGGAGTTAGCGCGCAACCTACCCGGAGTTGCAG